ATTATTTTGGAGTTAATTTTTTTTTTTTCATTTTAACCTCTCAAAAAAATTATGGGTGTGTTATGCATGGGTCTTTTTCAGCGAATATCACTGAATATAGCGAAACGAATGAAATATGTATTTAAACATATTTTAAATTTAAGAATAAACGTATATATATATATATATATATATATATATATATATATATATATATATATATAAAAGTTTTAAAAGTCTTATCTAGAAACTGCTCTAGCACTTGATTGAAACTTTTAGCAATTCTAAATTTATAAAACTGAACATTTTAGTATAGAATTTACATACATAAAGAACTTTCTAAATATGCTAACCTATAATAAACTGTGCTTTCAACTTCAAAGATAGCTAAATTATTTTCAACTTCGATGTTATTATCGCAATTTTTCACCCGTTGTGACCCCCGACCTTATTCAGGTTTCTGTTGTGCAACCTTCATGGTGATTTAGAAAAGTTTCATTCATTTAATCTACGTTATGGTTTGTGGGGTGAAGTTTTTTTTTCTCGTTCGCTGTACATGTCTATAGATATTCCGTGTCTTTATCAGTACTGCGCCATGATTGCTCACAATGTTTGAATCCTATGTCTGCACTACACGGCCCAGGGACTCACCTCACAATATGTCGTAAGTACACGAACCAAAACTTTAATCCTCTAGTCTATCACCCATCGAGTTATATAGAGGCTTAGATATCGGAACATGAAACATCGACCTACCGAGATTAAATAACTGGTTCTGTTCGAAATTCCCCGACGCTTACTCGGATAGACGGTTACCCAAAGAAGGCTGGAGAGCACAACGGTTGAAGTATTGATAACAATGGGGTTATTAGTTCAAATGTAAACAATAACATTAGCTCATCCTAAAAATTAAGAAATTATTTTGAATGCACGACAATGTTACAGCCTTCAAATATACTGAATGAAGAGATTGATTGTTTAACAGCATATCAACTCATTATAGGCCATTTATTGCTGAAATTTAATTTTCTTGTGAGTTTGAAATTAATAAAAATATATATTATTCTTGACACTATTTACATTATTCGAATTATTATCCTCATCTTTGTTGCCATATTTATTACAACGTTTCGGCCGTTGTATCCTCAGGCCTCCTTCAGGTGGTTGGAATGTCGAACTGAACCCTTTATTTCGCTCACTGGGGTAGAATGTTCTAGTTCCAAGTGCCATGTTTAATGGATATCAGTTACCTCCTGTTAATTCCCCTCTCCAAGTTCTCCGCTGCTTTAACCGAGTATTGAACTCACACTCTTTGGGTGCTGTCACTGGATCTAACCAACACCTTGTGTTCTGTGTCCTTGGCGACAAAGATAAGGACAAATAGTGTAAATAGTGTACATAATACCTCATCTCAGAAATATAGACATGTTATTCTGCTTTCACAATTGAATACATGGTAGATAATACTCAGCTTTTGTGCGTATACATGCTTGTGTGGACATGATTAATAGATGTAGTGAAGTGTGTCTTAGGTTTGTTGAAGTTATATCTTGGAATACAGTTCGATTTAAGAGATTGTAGGATATTATATGGACTAATGTCATGCAAGTCCTTTCATGTTAGTTGCGTGGTAGTATTTTAAGTGGAATTTGGTGAAGACGTTACAATTTGTTAGTATGTGTGTGTTGGTAATTTTACTACGGTGGAGTAATGGATAGAGGTTCGGATTGAGAAATCGGAGAGCCGAGTTCGAATTCCAGTCAGATCCGTTACATTCACTTACGTGCTAATACCCTTGGAAAAGTCATGAATCCTCTTCTTCTCCCCTCATCTATGGGTAAATAGCAGGACAGACCGAGTTCTAGAGCCTTGGATGGCAACTGGTCTACCGCAGAAAGAAATGGCAACCTACTGCGGGAAAAATGTGCCTCGTCAGTCATGTATTGAAAGATACATGATCGCTTAAACGTGTATCACGCATGGCACATACCTGATATGTATTGTTGGTAATTTTACTATAGAATGTATCTTTATACTTTCATAGAGTTTTGTCTTTGTTTGGTGGGGGGGCGGTCACTATTGCCCATAGCTGGGACCCTAACAGGTGCTACCACCCTGGGTTAGGGTGGGTCTGGGAACAACAACAATTAAGAGGCGGTTCCATGCTCGTTAAAAGATCAGAGAAACTACATCCAGCATTGTAGTTTTCGTCGTAACCAGAACTAAGAATGAACAGATCTTCCTAACCAAAATCTATCATGATAAAGAAAAATATTTTATTCTGGACAAAGAAGAAAACCACTATACGCCTGTTGTCCATTTCTGGTACAAATTTACCTCTGTAAGTGTTAATTCAGTCTTCCTTTACATCTGGTTTTTATTAAACAAATTAACGTAGAAAAATAGTCCTGGTCAATTTTTTTTTATGCAGGTAAAAAAAAAGGGGCGATGAATTTAAACCTTTCAGGGTTTGCAAAAAGAAAGGATCGAAAATGTCTATGACCGAATGACCCCTTCTATT